CTGCTTCCAGCCTGCCATATCTGCTTATCATCACTTGTCAGAGGTTACCATCTCCTGTAGTCTGCTGTGGAGCAGCTCATGACAGGGTTCTCAGCCTGTTCTAGTCAAACTGAGCTGAGAAACCCTTTGCTAACAAGGTTAATATCCTGAAAAGGTAGAGTGTTCACCAGGGTGAGGTGAGGGGTAGCTTGGATAGCCTAGGGAACACCAGCCTCTCCCAGATGCAAGCTTCTTGGAAAAGGTGTGTCTGTCAAGACCTCGGGCTTAGCCTCATCTGTGCTTGCAGCTATTTAACTAGACCACAAAGAACATGATGATTCCAGAGCTCTTTACCTGCCTCATGGGATGCAAGGGCAGTACTGAGCTACTGATTCTGTAGTTTATATTTTCAGAGCTCTGGGCTTTTTCTTGCCACTGATTAGGTAATTCTTTTCACCCACGCCTACGTGCTTCAGAAAGTTGGATGAAAGTGTTGTAAAGCAGAAACGAGGAATTTCTTCCAAACAAACACCCCTGCTCAGAGCCAAATCTCAAGACTGCTGTTAAACTGAAAAGTTTTGCTTTTTCTAGTTTGTTTACAAGGCTGCCCGGGGCCTTGCTGCTGTCCCAGAGGTTGATGGATGGGACAGGCTCCAGGCATGCTCAGATTCTCTATGTTCACTTTTATAGTTTTGCGGTATTGGTATTAATAAAGTTTTGTACTAAACTGAAACTCTTCTTTGATCTAGAGAGTGGCAGCTTTGAGCATTCTGCTGAACTGCTTTTGTACGGGGGAAGAAGTTACTGACCTTTCTGCAGGAGGGTTAGGGGACCTAGAACACCGGTGGAAATTCCAGTCACAGTACTGTGTCTACAGTGGACCCTTCCACCTTGGAAGGGTTGCATTATAATGTAACCCTTGCTGTATCTATGCATGGTTGCTGCAGTCAAAAATAGTTTATCTCAATTCTCACTCTGCTATAAGTAGGATTATAAATGGGGGATTTACTTTGGGAGGGGGTATACTGCAGTAAGTTCTGCCTGTTTTCCAATGCTGAGCACACTAGTGCTAGCCCTGTGAACTCTCAGAGAAGAGGAGTAGGAGTAGAGTTCAGTGCGAATTTGATTTTAATAATGAAATGTATTGGAACAATTACAGAAAGTCATTCACAGTCAAAATGTCTAAATCATCATAGAAACCTTTCCTCTGTGTGTGCAAAATTTGCTGCTTTTAAAAATAACAGGGCTGGTCCTCTTAAATGCACTTTCTATTACCTCTTTCTTGTGCCTGTTCTCACAGGCAGTAGCTTTCTCTTTATGACTGTCTTGCTGTGCAGGAGACCTAGATTGTATCTTCAGAGGACAAAAAGGTGAGGAAGATGCTGAGGACAGCAAGCTGCTTCTGCTGATTTGGAGT